CTGCTTCATCTATGAATGGTGAATCTATGATCTCGTTCATAGATTCACTGATGTGAGTCCAACCCCCTGCCTGGGCAGAAAAGAGCGCTGGGGTCAGATGCCCCCAGCCAGATGCCTATCCAGCCTTCTCGTAACGACCCCCAAGGTAGAGGAGAGCTCCACCTCCCTTGGAAGCCCACTCCAAATGTTGGCCACCCTCACCATAAAGAAGTTTTTCCTGACGTCTAGCCTAAATCTGCTCTTGGTCAGTTTGTTACCGTCGTTCCTTGTTACCCCAAGAGGCGCCCTGGTGAACAGAGCATCTCCAATCCCTTGCTGTGTCCCCCTAATGAATCTGGAGGCAGCCACAAGATCCCCTCTCAGCCTTCTCTTGTGGAGGCTGACAAGATCCAGGTCCTTCCCTCTCTCCTCATAGGACCTGTCCTGTAAGACCCTGACTATACGAGTGGCGTCCTCTCGAGTCTATCAACATCATTCTTGAAGTACGGCACCCAAAATGGACGCAGTACTCCAACTGCGGTCTGACCAATGCTGCATAGAGGGGAATGGTCACCTCCTTGGATCTATTTGTCATGCATCTGCTGATGCATGGTAACGTGCCGTTAGCTTTGCCGATGATTTCATCACACTGATGACTCGTGTTCATCTTGGAGTCCACTCTCACTCCGAGATCCCTTTCCGCTTCTGTGCTGCCTAGAGGGTCACTTCCCAGCCAGCTGATGTGCTGAATATTTTTTGTGCCCTAACACTCTGCACTTGTCCTTGTTGTACTGCATCCGATTATGTACTGCCCACTTTTCTAACCTGTCCAGCTCTGCCTGCAATCATTAGTAGACATGACATCAAATAAACACTTGCTTTCTATGTCCTTCAGATATTTAGTTACTCTGACACTAACACTTCCTGGAGCCATCTTTTCAGATTGTCTATCCTTAGCCATTTGCATTTCCCCGCACATGTCCTTTTCTTACTCAGTGAGACGCTAGCCTGCACTCCTTGGGGCATCAGCTTTTTCCTCCCCAAACCATGCCTACCGTGGGTACTAGATAGCCAAATAGGAAGGGGGAAAGACTGCCGTAAAGGCTCTTGCCAAGGTCACTTTCTAAATAAAGTCCCATTCACATCTTAGAAAGCACTGGTGTCATGGGATGCAGAATGACTGCTACTGTGTTTCAATGATGGGTCACAACACGGACAGCAGACCCCAGGAAAACTGGCAAGGATGGATGGCACCTAAAAAAAGAAAAAAAGCCAAGGAAGAAAAAGACAGGTCCCAAGACTGGGGGAAAGCATCATTAAAAAAACAGCATCACAAGGTCTATAAAACAAACCTCAACCCTGGATTTGAAAAAAGTTTGACTGCAGTGCTAAATAGGACTCATGCTGTTAATTCAACCTGCAACTTGGAATACACCAGAGAGGCAAAAAAGGAGTAAATCTACTCACCCATGTCAAGCGAGGAAACAGTTGCTAGCCACTAAAATGCACATCACTATCAACTGATGAAGAATTTAGGCTCTCATTTATGCAAATGTAAGTTTCTATCCATTATACCATGCCCCTCGCCTGGGGCAGAGCACTTCGGAGTCCAATAACCAGCAATTCCAGTAAGTGCTGGCAAATAAAAGGGAGCAAAATAAAAACAAACAAACATGTGCTGTCCTATCAAGAAACTCTGCCATTTTGGTACTTGGTTAAATTTTTACTCTGTAATTCTAACAACAGAAAATGTTGGTGCTCAAAGATTTGGGTTCAGACTTTTAAGTGGCTGATTTTATGCAGCTAGATGCTAATTTGTAGCAGAATACACACCAGGGGTTTTTTTAGCATTTGGCCGCAGGGGTGGGGGGGAACGGGGGGAAGAGCATTATTCCAACATATGAGCAACTTTATTAAGGCAGCTTCTAGACAGTCCTCCAAATATTAGACAATGCAGAGGGGTCTGAAGGCCCAGAAAGACATTACAAATGCCAGTCCCAGCTGTTCAACAGCCCTTGGGAACCCGGGAGAGATTACACAAGAGCTTTTGAGAGCAGCGACACGCAAGCTTTGATCCTAATCGTGAAGGCCTCAAACACCAGAAATCAGTGAGTAACAAACCGTCTCCTTTTCCCCAGAGAAGTCTCCAAGGACCTGGGGTGGAGAGGTTCTTCTCCCTTCCAGCAGTTGGGTGGCAGGATTGAATATCTAATCCAACAGGGATTTTTTGCCAGAAACTGAAATGAAAGATCAATCCTCCAGCAAGAGGCTAGATCACTGGTAAGCACCTGCTCCCCTCTACCCATTGCTGGGAGGTGGGAAGGAACCGGATTTTCAGCAGTTTGCTGGAGATCTCACTAGGAAAGAACGAGACACAGTAGCGGGCATCTGGTGAGGGTTTCAAGCTCTGGACTGAAGAGCACACGAAAACAAAGCACGATGACTAGCAGCTTGGGATCCCAACGGCTCTGCTCCACAAACATGCAGCCTCTCTGGCATTGGTGAACTTCCGTCCAACTAAAGAGAATAAAACCCAAGCACCAGCACAACTTTTCCATTAACGGGGAGTGCCTCATGCTGCTGCACCACACCCATATCCACATCTAGCCCACACAGGCTCGCTTTTCATAAACTCAATCTGGAGAAGTTTGGCACAGAGTAATTTTAAACAAAGTATTTGGCAAACATGGGTCACGGAGTGACTAATAGAACAAATCAAGCCTAAACAAAGTGAGGTATTTGAATGTATCCTGTACTGAGAACACTCTTAGCATTCCTGTAGAAGACAATGTTATGTAAGTGCACAAGGCGCCTCAAGAAACAAATGAGGTCCCTGTAGCAAAGAGGCCGAAAAGCAAGGGACCAGATGCAAAGGAGTCATTCAGAAGCAAGAGGGTGCAGAGATCCAGTGTTTAAAGAGGAGAATTATGGTATGGGAAGGTGCCTAGTCAGCAAGAGGCGGGAGGTCAAGAGAAGAAACTTGAGTGAAGGTAGAGAGAAGCACATGGAGCGAGTGAGCAGTCGAATATGGAGTCATGAAGGGCACTGAAAACAGAAGTGAAGAGCTTCATGCTGAAAGAGAAAGGTGGAGGAGGGAAGAAATCTGTAGATGAGGTGATATCTGAACAGCAAGGAAGTTTAGTACCAGGACTGGAAAGGAGAGGTGACCAGAGAGGGACCAATTACTGTAACTAAAAAAAGGGGGGGAGGGGAGCAGACCAAATATGTATCCATTGGTTTAAGCAGTGTGGATTGAGAGAAAAAAAGGAGATTCATCCCAAATTCTCTGCACTGCAGAGCATAAGGCAATTTCAAGATGACTGCTACACATGAATGTCAGAAAAGCACACAGCTGACAACTAAAATGGCTTGATACTGAAAGCCATTCGTTTACCAGCCAGTTTCAGTTTCCACTTTCCTAGTTAGGACATTTTGGTCTGAATAAAAAAAACCTCCCTCTCTCCTTGCTTCTGCAGCCAAGTTAGAATTGTGCTGATCCTCCAGTTGCTGTGAAAATTGATGCAAAACTGGTGCAAAAATTTAGTACAGTCTTCCTGCTGGACACAGCAGTTACATGATGGACCTGGAAGAGCGAGTCCACATTTAACACAGTTACCAAATATGGCTACAAGAAATGAAGTGCCAGCAGATGGTTATAAATCCACTCTCATCCTAACTTTCCTTTCCCCTAACATGCAAAGTTCAACTCTTGAGGGAGGGGTGGGGGAAGAAATTTTCCTGGTCCTTCATTTCTCCGAAGAATGAACACTGGATGTTCAGAGACTATCAGTGCAGGTCTAGTCCTGAACTTGAAAAGCAGCCAGCACGGGTCACATGTCAACGTGCAGCAGTCCAGCAACTCCTTCTAATGGAAAAAAGAATGACTCGAGAATAGACCCAGTGGAAAAGATGCAGAGTACGGACTGCCCAGATCGAGTTTCCACACCTCCTTGAGAGCGCGCGACTTCACCCTGCTGCTCCCTTCAAAGTAACCAGCAACACTGTTTCCTAGCACCAAGCTGCGCTTAATCATTTAATATAACCTGGGCTATTTCAGCAGTCAAGCCACCCCATGATGGAGACGGCACGAGCCAGAGCAACAGCACAAAGGCATGAGTTCCTGTAACACCATCCCGTGGCTGCGGCAAATGTCAAAATAAATACAAATAAAAACTCGGCGGAGTTTCCTTTGGGTGTCTGCATGAAGGAACAGCCAGGGGACAAGCCCCTTCGACCACGGAGCTGGCAGGCTTCGGGCCCCAGACCCATTCCAGCGGGAGCTGGCTAGCCCCTGGCGTTCGAGGTGCCACGCATGTTCTAGCGCTCACTTGAGAGTCGGCCGGCCATGACTAATTGTGGCGGTGCAACCACGGAGCGTGCGATGTGTAAGGCGATTGTGCAAGGGTGACTGAACGCCAGCCACCTGCACACGCCGATGGTGGGATGTGGGGGGAGCAGTAGATACGTGGAAGAACAGGGCTAGGATTCGCAGTGACCTCAACACAAACGGGAGGACTGGGCCAAAAAGAAATCTCCCGAGGTTCACAGACAAGTCCTGCGACATGGAGGGGGCGATGCCATGCACGGTAACTCTGCAGAACAGGACTGGGGGGTGGGGCGGGGGCAGGAGCCAAGAAGGCGAACAGCACTGGTCTGACCTGCCGGCAAACTGAGGGCAGCAATTCTCCCCCTCCTTCCAGCACTGGGGAGGCCACATCTGGAGTCCAACTGTGCCCCCTCCCACTTCTGAAAGGATGCAGACACACCGGAGAGTCCAATGGAGAGCAACAAAAACAGTTTTGGGGGGACAGGAGTGATGAGGAGAGGCAAGGGGGCCTGGACAGCAGCCTTCACCTCCCTGCCGGGGGGCTGCAAAGAGGATGGAGTTCAGCGTACAGAAGGAGCAATGGGCTCGGGCTGCAGCCAGGGAAGTCGAGGCTGGGCATTAGGATGAATTTCCCCCCGTCCCTCACAACGGCGGCGCGGGTCGGGCCCGCGACCTTGAGGGGCCGGGCACTCACCCAGCACGTCGGCGCAGCGGTGCCGGGCCACGAAGCAGGCGTCGTCGCCGTAGCACACGCCCTTCTTGAGGATGCCCTTGCGGAAGTCCTTGCCGAAGCCGCAGCTGGCCGTCACCAGGCTGTAGTCGCGCGAGTCGGTCTGCGACAGGCCGCCCAGCACGGCCCGCGCCACCAGCCGCCCGTACGACAGCACCGAGAACATGGCGCGCGGCGCCCCGCAGCCCCTGACAGCCACCGCCCCCAGGGCTTCCCGCGGACCGGGCCCGGGCCCGGGCCCGGTC